GCACTCCAGTCTGGGTGACAGAGTGAGACTCCAACTCAAAAAAAAAATTAAATAAATAAACAAATTGCAGTAAAATTTATGATACATAAAAGTAACTGGGAAATGGAAGTACTGGACTAATAGAATTACCTGCTGGGTGTGGTGGCTCATGCCTATAATCCCAGCACTTTGGGAGGCCAAGGTGAGAGGATTGCCTGAGCCCTTGGGTTTGAGATCAGCCGGAGCAACTTGGCGAGACCTCATCTCTACAATAAATCAAAAAATAAGACAGGCATGGTAGCACATACCTGTAGTTCCAGCTGCTTGGAAGGGTGAGGTGGAAGGATCACCTTAATTCAGCAGGTCAAGGCTACGGTGGCTATGAGCCTGGGCGACAGAGTGAGACTCCTACTTAAAAAAAAAATAGAATTACCTTATATGCCATGCACGGATAACTTGAAGACACAGATATTTGTGATAGAAATACTTTTTCTTTTTTTTTTTTTGAGTCGGAGTCTCACTCTGTCGCCCAGACTGGAGTGCAGTAGCCGCTCCTGGCTACCGCAACCTCGACCTGCTGGGCTCCAGCGATCCTTCTGCCTCAAGCCTTCCAAGTAGCCAGAACTACAGGCGCGTGCTACCACGCCCCGCTAATTTTTTGATTTATTGTAGAGATGAGGTCTTGCCAAGTTGCCCAGGCGGGTCTCGAACCCGCGGGCTCAGGCAATCCACTCACCTCAGCCTCCCAAAGTGCTGGCTTTCTTTTTTATTTTTTTGAGTTGAAGTCTCACTGTCACCCAGGCTGAAATGACAGTGGGCTGCAATGGCACAATCATGGCTCATCACGGTCTAGACCTTCTGGGCTCAGGCAATTTTTCTGCCTCAGCGTACAAGTAGCTGGGACTATAGGAGTATGACACCACACTTGGCTAATTTTTTGTAGAGATGAGGTCTTATGTTGTCCAAGCTGGTCTCGAATTCCTGGCCCCAAGCAATCCTCTCACCTCAGCTCACTAAGTGCTGGGATTACAGGTGTGAGTCACCACACCTAGCCTGAAATACATTCTATAGTGATGGTATGACAATGGCTT